AAGTGGCGTCATGCCAGACTGGGCCCCAGCACCCAACCACCACACGTGAGAACCAGTGGAGGAGAGGAAAAGCCAGTAAGGGGGAATGTGGAGGGCTCCCTTGCTGGACAGCCACTCCCACTGGAGAACATGAGTTGGGATGGGGCAGACCAGACAAGCCAGGGCTACAACACCTATGGGCCTCATGTGAGCTAGATCAGGGAAAAGCCAAGCTGGGCTGAATGTTCCTACTGGTGCGAGCATAAATCAGAATGGGTGAGGGCTGGTTGGGTTTTGCCACAGCATCAGCTGACAGAAGCTGTAACTGGGGCTTAATTCTGTCAAGTTAAACTGTAGAACCACCTGCAGAGTGCAGGTGGAGAGTGGGAGAGGCACAGTAGGGAAAATAGTGGGCACCTCCCTCTTGGATTACCACTCCCACTGGAGTGCATGAAAACCAGGTCTGGGGCAGGCATGGCTAGACAGAATGGCACCCGCCAGCATGTGTGTGAGCTGAAAAGTAGAGCTGGTAGGGTTGAACTAGGTTTCAATGCCAATTGACATGTAGGACAGACTGAACCAATCTGCTATATATACTGGTAAGCATGGGAACCAGGGTAGGGGGCATGCCTGGTGGGGGTTATTGTGGATCATCCCGTCTAGGCTGCAGCTCCCACTGGTTTGCATGAGGGCTGAGTGAGTGCTGGCCAGAATCAGGCTTGACTGCAACACCCAAGATTCATGTGGAAGACAGGTCTGGAAACAGAACTGACCCAGCAAATCCAACCACTAGCATAATACATAAGCTGATTGGGGCGACGGACTGTGTTGGACCCTGTAGTGGCATTCACACGCAAGAATCAGGTCTGGGATCACCTTAGATGAAGTTTCTTTGGAGATCCCTCCAATTGAACTGCTGATCTCAGAACCCAAACCATGAAGAGAAGTGCAGATTCCATGATCTGACCATGGAGTACAAGTGTCGAAGCTGAGCCTCCGGAGAGGCTCAGAAGAAACAGTGGACAGCATATCCAGATGTACGTAGAGGATAGGGAAATCCATTGGAGCCTGCAGAGGACACCTGGTACCACAACAGAGAATGGAGGACAGAACTAATCAAATACCCCAGTCATATATTGGCAGTGAAAATCTGGGCAAACGGAGACTCCAAGGTGGACTATGCCAGCTAGTGGATTCTGGAGAGATTTCATCATGCTTGGAATGGTGAGCTTGGCAACATTTCAGGACTGTTGAACTATCAAAACCACTTGAGCAGTGCCCTCGGAGCATGCCCCACACCGGGGACCCTGGGATGGGGTGAAAGGTCAGGTGGGGCTTCTCCCTTTATCTCCCTCCTTACTTCAGATACACACTCAAAAAATGTGGAAGCAATGATTTTACCCACCTTCCTGTAACCCTTGACCCTTTGTGTCCTAATCAACTATGTAAAGATTATTAAAATAATAGTAAATTAATTAATTATGACTAAATGAAAAATAAAAAATAAATTACACTGGTGCAGAATATAACTAATGTTTCATAATCCAATCAACTACACTGACCCTATAGGATGACTATGTAAAAAGTGTTTTCACATAATTTTTGAATATAAAATTAAAATACAAAAATGAATGATATTAGGTCCTGGCACAGCACAGTGGCCTAGCAGCTAAAATCCTCGCCTTCAATGTGCCAGGATCCCATATCAGTGCCAGTTCATATCCTGGCATGCCCCTGCCCATCTAACTCCTTACTTGTGGCCTGGGAAAGCGGTCGAGGACGGTCCAAAGCCTTGGGACCCTGCACCCACATGGGATACCCAGAAGAAGCTTCTGATTCCTGACTTCAGATAGGCTCAGCTCTGAACGTTGCAATTACTTGGACAGTGAATAATCAGATGGAGCATCTTCCTTGCTGTCTCGCCTCTTCTCTATACATTTGGATTTGCAGTAAAAATAAATAAATATTTTTAAAAAGTGGGTGAGATTAATGTATGCTTCTCTATTTTAAAAGTTATTTCTTTGTGTCTTTTCCTTTTTAGGATTTATTTTACTTTTTTTTTTAAGTCATATTTACACAGGGGAAGAGAGACAGAATGAAAGAATTTCCATCTGCTGATTCATTCCCCCTGGCTGATTCAATCCCCAAGTGGCCACAATGGTTGGAGCTGAGCTGATTCAAAGCAAGGAACTTCTTCCAGGTTTCCCACATGGGTGCAGGGTTCCGAAGCTTTGGGCTGTTTTCTACTGCTTTCCAAAGCCACAAGCAGGGAGCTGGATAGGAAGTGAAGCAATCGGGACATTAACCAGCGCCCATATGAAATCCCAGCGCATGCAAGACAAGGACTTTAGCCACTAGGCTGTTGCACTGAGCCCTGTTTTCATTTTTTTGAAAATGAGAGTTGTGGGTGCGTGAGACAGTTTTCACTGCTGGTTCACTCACCAAGTGTCGGCAACAGCTGGGACTCGGTCACTCCACAGCCAGGAGCTGGAACTGGGTCAGCCCACATCAAAAGCCTCCATGTGGGTGTAGGGACTCAAACACTTGAGCCATCACTTGCTGCTTTCCAGGGTATATATCAGCAAGAAGCCAGAAGTTGAAGTGCAACCAGGATTCAAGGCCAGGCACTCCGATAGGGGCTGCAGGCACTCCAAGTGGCATCTAAACCCATGAACCAAACACTCACCTCAAATGTGTGATTTTAGATGTTAGGATAAGACCCCTGGGCCCAACGTGATAGCCTAGTGACTACATCCTCGCTTTGCATGCACCAGGATCCCATATGGGTGCCCGTTAATGTCCTCTCTGCTCCACTTCCCATCCAGCTCACTGCTTGTAGCGTGGGAAAATAGTGGAGTATGGCCCAAAACTTTGGGGCCCAGCATCCGCGTGAGAGACCTTGAAGAAGCTCCTGGCCCCAGATCAGCTCAACTGGACATTGTGGCCATGTGTAGAGTAAACCAGCAGATGGAGGATTTTTCTCTTTATACCTCCTTCTTTCTGTATATCTGTCTTTCCTTTCAAAAATAGACTTAATCCTGAGAGCCCCACCTGGAAGAGGGTACTGTTGGGTTCTTTTTGATATGCCTGGAGGTCATATGGGTATGTTCCATTTATATTGTTATTGCTTAGGCAATTCTGTTTTTTTTTTTTTTTTTTTGGCACGGGATTGTTCTTCAAAACATGTATTATATATATATTTTTTATATTGTTCATTAAAACATATGTGTGTGTGTGTCAAAGTGAAACAAAATACCGTGTGTGTCCTCTAGCAGCTTCCATTCTGTTTGCCAGGAGGTGAGCAAGAAAACGTGTATGTCCGTGGCTCCTCCCGCCCTGGGATAGACTCTGTTTCCTTTAAGCCTCATTTTTCTTCTGATGAGAAAGTTTCTTTAACATTTTTTGAAGTTCAAATTGCTGCTGATGAATTCTTTCACGTTTTGTGCATCTGAAAAAAAAAATCTTTTCTTTTGTCTTTATCACGTTTGTCACGTGTACCACTTGCGGGATTCTCGGTTTGAAGGATGCCGCAAGCACTGGCTTCTTGCTTGTGTGGCTTCCTTTGAGAAATGTGCTGACATTCGGATCTTTCAGGTCGTGGGTGTTACGTGTCTCCCTCCGCCCAGCTGCTCTGATGGGTTTCATTTCAACACAGATTTCAAGAGGCTTTCTTTAAAGTGCCTCATATAGTTTTCTTTATAATCTTCCTGTGTTGTAGATGGATTAAACTCGTTAGTTCTTAGTTCTCATCCAATTTTGAGTTTGGGACCACTAGTTCTCTGATCTTTTTCTTGTTTCTTCCCTTCTTCTTTCCTTCAGAGAATTCTCTAGACATATATTAGCTCATTTGAAGTTGTCCTATAAGTGACAGATGCTCTGTTAATTTTCTTAAAGTCTCTTTTACTTTTTTCTCATTTTTAAAGGAAAAACATTTTCATTTGGTTTGAAAAGTTAGAGAGAAACCCCTTGTGGTCTTCCATGTCACTGGCAAGGACCCAAGTACACGAGGCATCCTCAGATGCCACCTTGGTGTGCATTAGCAGGAAGCCCAGTGACAAACGGAGCAGCCAGAACTTGTACCTGACACGCTAGCATGACAGGGAGGCATCGGAGAGGTGACTCAGCTGCTATACTCGATGCTGCCTACCGTATTTTCCTTTTTGTGGAAAACAACATTTATTAATTTTGTCTTCTGTACTATTTTAATCTCATTGATTCAATAAATATATTAATAATATATTTGCAGTTTAGATATACTGTTTTTCATTTATCCTCTGAATATTTACCTATCTTTTGGAAAATATCCAGCGCTTGTAGAGCTATCATTAACTGTCTTACTGTCCTTGTTAATTCTAATATCTCTGTCAGTTCTGGATCGCTTTCAACTGGTGAATTTTTTTTTTTCTCTCATTGTTTGCCACTTTCTTGTCAGGCCTGGTAATTTTTAATTGGATTCTTCCCTCTCTTTGTTATTCTATGCTTCAGAGAAATAAAATAAAATCTTGAAAGAATGTCTCAGAGATGATCAATATCCCTTTTGTGACTGTTATTGGTACTGCCCACAAATAATGAAGATCTAATCCTCACTGTACCTACGTTAGGGCCCCAGGATAGAAGAATGAACTCACAACGAAATGAAAGTCTCCTACATGGCTGGGAGACACTCCAGTGGCGGCATGATGGACTCAGGAAAATTCACAAAGGGGACACATTGTAAAACTAGAGGAGAGAACAGAGGGGAGGGGAGGGAACTTGGAGAAGGGGGAAGGGAGAGTCCAGCACCAACTAAATTGTATCGAAAAACAACAACAACAACAAAGAACGTCTCAGAGAAAACATTTCACAGTGGGTTTTGTTTCCTTTCGTTTCATTTTTTCTTTTTGAGTAATTTTTTTGAGAGTCAGTTAAAGGGAAATTGTTACGACAAATCTACTTTTCAAGAATCAGGAAGTGCTATGAGATGGGCACTAGATTAAAAGTTGTCTGCACCAGGAGACTGTGTGCTTTGCGCACCTGCTGGGATACACACTGCTCAGAACTGCCGCTTGGACTCTCTGGCTCCTGTGAGCTTCTTCAGCATTTGGTGTGATGCCCGATACTAACAGCACAGTTAACTCAGCCGCAAACACTAGCATTATTTTAGGGTTTTTAATGTCCTTACTAGCCTTTTTTATAGTGGTAGGAAATGCAGTGGTCATCTTAGCTTTTATGGTGGACAAAAATCTTAGACATCGAAGTAATTATTTTTTTCTTAATTTGGCCATTTCGGACTTCTTTGTGGGTAAGTTACATGTTTTTATTGAAAAATAATCTTTTCCAGTTACAATTTATTTTTGAAAGCATGAGATTTACTGTAGTTACTTCAGGGGCCTGTAGAAGATGGTAGAAGATAAAACAAAAATGTTAATTATTAAAAACTTAGGATGGCTAGATGGTACATTAAGGAAATGTTCTGAATATGAAAATCAGGATTGGAGGGGAATTTTCATCTGAGTACAGCTTACTCTCTGTGAAATAAAAATAGTTCAGACTAATGATAAAAAAAAATCTGAGTGTAAGAATGACTTGTTTCTAGAGGTATTTTTCTTGCATGTTTATATTTGGAAATGTAAGTGTCCTTTATGGAGTCGTCTCAGTATCATAGTGTTGGAAGAATAGAGGTGATGTATATGCTGGTAATTAGAACAAACAAAAAAGATGTATTCAGATCAACTAAATACTACAATTATTAGCGTCATTTTATGCATTTCACAATATGGCAAAATACACTTGAGAATAAATAATCTTGCATTTAATAAGATATCACAGTGTTATTTATGGCTAAGAGACCATGAATGTAAAATTAATCTTTTAAAAACACAAACTTTGTATTTTTTTTGTTACCAGATTATTAGCGTTTTTGATAATGCTTATTACAATGAGTGGATTTGCAGACACATCAAGTGATTGTCTTATTGAAAGTCCTTAGTCTGATTTCCTTTAAAATTATGTATGTGTCTGTTTATCAGAGAACGAATGAGAGAGAGAAACAACACAGTGCTCCCTTCTGCTGCTTCACTCCCTGAATGTCTGTGATGATGGGACTCAGCTGCTGGAGCCAGGAATTAGGAATCTGATCCAGCTTTCCAGCTGGGCTCGATGCCTACCTGCCTAGTATTGTTCAATCTGATATATTCGGATGACTTTATATATTTAGTTTAAAATAAAACTTACAGAATTTTTGTGATGGCCTACAACACAGTCCTTGTTCAACAAACATGAGGTCCCCTCTCTAGATCTCTCTGTAATTGTATCACCCCAAACTGAGATTACAAACTTGTCTCAGTACCTACAATTCGTAAGTGCTGCTGGCTTTTAAAGTATTATCAGGTAATTGACAAAGCCATTGAAGAATGTCTTTGTTTTTTCTTTAGAGAGATTGCAGTGTAGTAGAATGGATAAGAAAAATTTGCAAGTAGCCTTAACAGTACGCTGTAAGGTCCGTGAAGACCTATCAAATTCTATGGGCACTTGGATGCAGGAGATGGGACATATTTAGTGGGTAATAGCATTGAAATGCACTGTGAAGGGTGTACTCAATTTTCTTACACAGAGATGAAGATGAGAGAAGTAGCCCAATGGCATCCTGGTTAAAATAATAATAATAATAATAATAATAATAATAATAATAATAATAATAATAATAAATCCTTGTGCCGGTGCTGATGTGGCACAGAGAATTAAGGTAGAGATTACCATGCTAGCATCCCGTAGGAGCACTAGTTCGAGTCCTGTCTACTTGACTTCCGATTTCCTGTATGTTTCCCTGGGAAGGAAGCTGGGGATGATCCAAGTATGTGTGACCCTGTCACCTACGTGGAAAACTGGGATGGGCTTACTGGCTTCTGGCCTCATCCTAAATTAAGCCTAGCTGTTGTAACCTTTGAGGGATGAACCAACAGATGAAAGATCTCTGCTGCTTCTTCTCTTTCTATTACTGCAGCTTTCAAACAAATAACTAATTCTTTACAGAATCACGGTGCATATGTTACCATGTACGAGCTTAAAGTTGACGGGGCAGGTCTTTGAGAAATGACTCTGCAAATGTAGTTAGGAAGCTTGGTGCTCCTTCTCCATTGGCAGGTGGTAGGAAAAAAAAAAAAATCCAGTGCTAGGAGTAGCAGGAGACGAATTTGGAATCTATACAGTGAAAGCCTGTGAACACTAATGGGAAGCTGGGCTGGCGTTTACGCAACAGGTAATTTGGAGATAATAAGGATTGATTTTATTGAAGCTGTCCCTCAGAGGCAGAAGAAGACAGGAAGTGTGAAGCTAGAGCATGTGGCCGTGTGGTTTCAAAGAGTCCTGTGGCAATCTAGGCAGAAGTTGTGGTGAGACTCTGAGCCAGGGCTGCAGAGCCACAAAGGGTGGGGTCGGACAAGAGAATGAGGAAGAGGAGCTAGACTGGACTTCTCAGGTGAAGAAGTTACGGCACTCTCAGAGGAATGAGGGGGCCGTGGCTTTGACGCTGGCACAGAAACGTCTGTAGGAAACACCACTGGGTTAGGAGTCATGGCTGGCATGGAACTGATAGGGTTGCAGGTAAAGATTGTGAAATATTTTTTTTTAATGCAACAATTTCCCCAGTTCTCATATCAGTTCTTCCCTTCCAGGTGAATTGTATTGGCAGCTTGATGTAGATCATTCCACGTCATTCTCTAGGCTCAATGAACATGTACAAATACACAAGGATATTTATATGAATATAGAGAATATTTTGCTCTTCCCACACGTATCCCTCTCCTCTTCCTTCTCAGAATTGTGGGACTTCTTGTCAACACCAGCACTTAAAGAGCATGTTATCTTTTGATTCAGCCAGAGAGGAAGGTCTTGTCTACCCTAGCAGTAGGAAGGAAAGAGATGTTCCATGAGAGAACAAAGAGCCCGAATCTTCTGATCAGACATGGCTTTAGACTAGAATGAGCTTCTGTGCCAGCCCCAGGTCAGCCCACAGTAGCTCTGCCATCCAAGGGCAGTAGCACAGTACATTGATGGGGCAGGTCACCAAGAAATGACCCTGCAAATGTAGTAAGGGAACTTGGTGTTCCCTCTCTGTCAGCAGGTGGATAAGAGGAAAAAAAAGGGGCGGGGGGCAGATCAAGCAGCATGCCTGTTAATCTCCCCGTCTTCCATTCACTCCTCCTCTGCACCCTGCCAGCTTCATCCAGAGCTTTGCTTCATGCAACACTTGTCATAGCACAAGAATGACAGCAACCTGCAAGAGCTTTGTGTGATGAGATCCAAGTGTTCTGCCAGTGCTAAGTCTTCCCTTCACCGTGCTCAGAAGTGGTCCTTTCGGCTCAGAGCCCAGAGGAACACGTGGAGGTTATGAACAGCAGGACAGGGCTTGTGAGAGGTTTCCTGTTGCTGGAAGCCAGCCTGGCCTCATGTAAGGGTCTCGAGACCCAGAGCTGCAGAACTGCATGATGATGGCAGGAGAAAGAAGAACCTCGTGCTTGTTCAGCCTCTGGGCTTTCTGGCTGTGAGCTCTCTGCCACAGGTTGAAGAAATGCCTTCTTTTTCCTTGTTGAAAAGCTAACTTTGTGACACCTCAGAAGCAAGCTTTCCAGGCTGAATTTATTTGTACAAGGTAAAAAAAATATATGATTAAAGAAACAGTAGCAGTACCAGTTATGTCAGATGTCACTTCAATAAGCCTCATTTGTAGAGGATTCTGGGGAAAATGTACCAACCGTATCTATATCTATTTGCTATAATCAGCACCATGTGATCAGACATGTCCTCTTGGGGTACCTTGTTCAAATGCACATCTATGGCCTGGACAGCATCTTCAGGGATAGAAGGTGGATGCTGCAAACAGCCTGAACTAAATTTTTCAGGGTAATAAAGTGTACCTGTCACACTTGCACGTCCCAGGCAGGGCTCTCCTCTTGCCTTCTCCTGCCATAATGAAGTACCATAGACTGGGTGATTTAAGGAACATGAATGCATTTTCTCCCAGTTCTGGAGGCAGGACATGCCAGGTCACAGTTGTGGCCAGTGTAGTTGATGGTGAGGACTCTTGCCAGCTGATAGACAGCTGGCTTCTTATTGCACCCTTACACAGCCCTTCTCTGAGTTTGTGAAGACAGAAACAGCCCTCTAATGTGCCCCCGCCCCTGAATATTTATTTATTTTTACTTGGAAGTTAGAAAGAGAGGGAAAGAACAAAAATTTCCATCCACTGTCTCACCCTACTAGTGGGTGACAGCCAGATCTGGGCAAGGGCCAACCCAGGATTCAAAAACTGTATTTGGGTCAGGTGCATGGCTAGCAGGGGCCCAAGTACTTGAACCATCATTTGCTGTCTTCCCAGGCACATTAACTGGAAGCTGAATCAGAAATTCAGATATTGGAGCTTGGATGTTGGGGTGCCAAGTTACAATCAGCACCAAATTCACTATGCTGCACAAGGCCAGGCACTGCTATCTCTTTTTCTTCTAAAAATAAATTTATTTATTTACTTTTTTGGAAGAGCACTAGATAGAGAAGGGAGACACACATAGAGATGTCTATTTTAAGGTTTATTTGTTTTTATTGCAAAGTCAGATATATAGAGAGAAAGAGAAAAGGATCTTCCATCTGTTGGTTTACTCCCCAAGTGGCCACAATGGCCAGAGCTGAGCCAATCCAAAGCTGGATGGGAAGTGAAGCAGCTGGGACATGAACTGGTGCCTGTATGGGATCCTGGCACATACAAGGCAAGGGTCCCAGCCACTAAGCTACCATGCTGGGCCCAGGGGGATAGCTTCTGTCTACTTGTTTCCGTGCCTCCCCCACTCCACCATGGCCACAACATCCAAGATGGGGAGAGGCAGAAACCAGGAACCAGGAACTTCATCCAGGTCTCCCATGCAGATGGCACGGGCTCAAGTACCTGGGTCATCAGTGAAATAGAACAAATCACCTAAAATCTTAACAAGACTTAGAAAAAAAAAGAAGGAAGGAAGGAAGGAGAGAGAGAAAGGGAGAAAGAGAGAAAGAAAGAAAGAAAGCAAGCAAGCAAGAAAGAAAGAACCACAATGATCAGACTTCCATACTGAACAGAACTCGGTCTATTTATTTCTTCTTTTTAAACTTCAGGTTCTGTTATCTCATCATGGTTCCTCCCTCGCAAAGTTTCTACAAAGATTAATTGAGATAATATTTGAGATGCACGCAGTGAAATGGTTGCAATGTGGTAATTGTGCAGTACATAATCAGCTGTTCTGAGTTTAAGTTAAATGTGCAAGTCATTGGTCA